TGAAGTCAAAAGAAGCTCTGAACCCAGAGGAACTCTGATGTCTGAGGCAGAGACTCAAAATAAATGAGATCAATGGAAAGGAATTTTAAAAGAAAAGAGTTTGAACCCTGTGAATGTCTGGCACTGTGTTGACATCCTATTGTTTGAGATTCTTATACACAAACCATCAAAGATGTGGGTGGTAGGAAAAAAAAAAGAAAAAATATACAATATAAAGGGGCTTGTACATTTGACCTCAATTTGAACTAGGCAGTAAAAGTTCATGCAGAAATGTTACACTTTCCCAGTCTTGATTAGAGAAATCAACTTTTGGTCCATAACTAAGAATAAAAAGATTTAACATCTAACCAAGGACTATTTATTTGTTTCAGTTTTCCTAACTTATAGGATATTGGGAAGATTAGAAATAGATTTTTGCCATTGAGCAACATGAACTCTAGAAAACTGAAGTTGTTAATTACAACTTATCATATTGTAATGCATATAAAATAATTAAATTGCCTTTACATTAAGTTGATAAACAATAGTATGACATGGCTTCTTTCAACTTCTGTCTAATTCTGTAAGTCCAGCAATGCCTCTCTGCCTAGTTAAAAAAAATGCCCCACCATACAAAGGCTAAATTGCTAACTCACCTAGAGAAGCTATTTTTCCAGTGTCCTATTTTGGTTTCAAATAAAAAGAATCATTGTATTTAGAGGATTTTTATAAAACCAGAGAGGGATATACAAGAGCCATGGAGTTGTAGCTAAGGTATTGAGTATAAAAATTCTGTAACATATATTAAGATTTGCTTTCAAAGGTTCAGAACCTGTAAATCATTCTTAGCATAGAGCTACTTGACACACATAACATGTAACTTACTTGTTCAAATATGTTTACACAGCTGTAAAGTTCCCAAATATACTGTCAGGAAAAACAAAAATACTGCTATGGAAATAAGAAGATGAAATTTAAGCTGCTTGACGAAAATTACCAAGGGTTTCCTATAAATTTGCTGTTTTTTTAAAAAATTCTTCTATTTTTTTCATTTCCCAATACATAGATTTATTAAATCAAAGATGGTAATGACCAACTAAAATACCTTTATCATAATGGTTCTTAACCCAAGATCACTGTACCATATCCAGGAGAAAGAATGAGGGAAGGAGAGAGGGAGGAAGGCAGGGAGGAAGAAGAGAAAGAGAAAGAGGGGAATAGAGAGAGTGTGCTGTAAAAGGAAAGGAAAATACTTACTGTTGTAACTAAATTGTTATCTAAGCACAATTGAAAGTTTCATTTCTTCCTACCAATGGGAAATAATCAGTGTCATCCTACCTACATTGGTTTAGCTAATCTAATAGTTTACAATATTTGTTTTTAATAATAACAAAATGGTGTCAAATCATACATAATTACTTTTTTGTTTATAGCGAGAAGATGGATAAGTGATAATTTGGCAAAAATATGTCTGTGAACAATTATGGCCATAATGCTATTAGCCACCTCACTTTTCATCTTTAAAGGATACTTATAAAATGTAGAAAATAAAAATTTTACACTTTTTCACATGTAAGGCACATCGTATGTTGATGTAAGCAACAAGTAACTGAAAGTTATTTATGAAATAGAAAAATGCTGCCAAGAATGCAGAAGATAAGACACTTGAGAACAATTGTATCAGTCTCTACTCAGTTCAGATTTGAATTGTTGAGCAATAAATGTAAAGTCATCATGGGTTTTAAAAATCTGCTCTTCTTTTTGTCCTAAAGTCAGTTTATCTTGATCAAATTTTATCTCTATCTTTAACTAAACAAAAGACTAAGAGCTACGAAAATATTTCAAGTTTAATAAAATCTCACTGCAGTTCTACTCAGATTGAAAGGAAACATCCTTTTATTTTATGTTTTATTATAGAATTCTATTACCCTGAAATAAACATTTCAAAGATAAGCAGTTATTAAAATCTTTGCCCACAATATATCTCCATATCACTTACATATTTGCATTGAGATTTGGAGGAAACATTTGTATCTTTGCACATAACAGCTCTTTGGCTAAATATGAGCTTTTACAAAATACTGATTTTCCTTTTCTTAATTGAAAGGTCTCCTTTTTGTCTGTTGACTATGTTTTGTGACCAAATGGGAGGTCACATTTATCAAGAACCTTTTTGTATAATAAACATTATGGATATAACCAATTAAGAATTCAAGCAAAATTAGAACTCAAGTAAGGTGGACTCAAACATTTGAATATGGCTGATGCATTGGATCTCTTATATTTGATAGTCTTTAGATGTTAACTCCATTTGGAAAAAAAATTATTCTGATTTACCAAAGCAGAATACTGTATGTATACCAGTATGGATACTATTGATTATTTTCACTTACCATGAAGGAGTCATGGAATTCTAGCCTTGAGACTTGGCCTTTTTGTCCTCAGAACTGAGGCCATGTACAGTGGAGCTACCTTAACTTTTTCCCTTTGTTAATGCTTTATAATATTCTTCCCAAACCTGCCATCCTGTTTAGGTACTGTGTTTACTCATCAGTAATCTGAAGCGAATGTCAGATGCCTTACATGGGAAATCACAGCAAAAAATAAATTGGTGATCTAATAACAAGCTTGATATGAAGCTCTTTCACAGTTTTCTCATGTCTGTCTAGCCAAAGTGAACTGATAGAAAACTGTGTCCAATTCTTGCTTAGTCACTCAACAACCAGGAAATCTTACACATGTCATCTTAAATCTGCATCTATCCAAGGGAAGGAAAAGCAGTGTTGTGTGTTTGGGGAAATAGCGGGAAGGACATAATGCCTAACAAACTCCGCAGAATGTCACAATCTCCTGAGGGGTGTTTTTTATTTTTTCTCAAATGTCTAAATGACCACTGTGATTTACTAGAATGTTTAGACATCAAACCTGGTACTTAGTAGATTTTAAGGATTATCATGAATTCTAATATGCACAAGCAAAATTTGGAAAGCACTGAATTAATTGGTATTTTACAGAGCTGCATATAAGATGAAAAACTGGAGGGCTTGAGTATTTTTCAGCATTTAAAAGTGCTATGACGGTGACATACAAAAAGAAATGTAAAACTGGGCGCCGGTGGCTCACGCCTGTAATCCTAGCTACTCAGGAGGCTGAGATCTGAGGATTGTGGTTCAAAGCCAGCCCGGGTAGGAAAGACCGTGACATTCCTATCTCTAATAAACCACCAGAAAACTGAAAGTAGTGCTGAAGCTCAAGTGGTAGAGCGCTTGCCTTAAGCTGAAGAGCTGAGGGATAGCGACCAAGCCCAGAGTTCAAGCCCCACAACCGACAAAAACAAACAAAAAAGAAATGTACTCATTACCTGATTTACGTTACTATAATCGCCCTGTGCATCATCTTTATAATAAGTGATATGAAATATCACCACCACACATCACACACATACAATACACACACCACAACCACCACCACCACCACCACCACCACCCCACCACCACAATCAACACCACCACCACTTTTATTCTCTTCTGGCAGAATCGCAGAAACAATTTAACATTTGTGGGTTTCTAATTTTATTTTAACATGTCTTAAATGTTATTTTAACCATAATTTCATGATTTGTTTTCGTTTATAGTTTAGTAATTAGAAATGGCATCATCTGTCTACTTCAAAAACCAACAATCTCCCCAAGTGCCAATGGATGTCACCTGTAATCCTAGCTATTCAAGAGACTGATAGTCAGATTGATGCTTGCAGCCAGCCCAGAAGAAAGGGCTGTGACTTTGTCTCCAAAATAATCAGCAAAAGCAGGGCCAAGACCCAGTTTGTAGAGTTTCAGTTAAACAAGCAGCCAAACAAACACAAAGCCCTGAATTCAAACCCTAGTATTAAAAAAAAAAAGCCCAGAGCAGAAAACACATCAACTTTTAGACCAGATATGTTGGTTCACACCTGTAATGCGAACCCTTGGAAGAATAAGATAGGACAATTACAGTTCAAAGCCAACCTGGACCAAAAGTTAATGAGTCTTTATCTCAAAAAGTAAACTGGTAAAACTGTCATAGTGGTCCATTTGTAGTGTTAGCTATGTGAAAGGCATAGAAAGGAATTTCAAGGTCTGAAAGTAGCAAAGGAAAATATGGGGGGGGGAAACTAAAGCAAAACAATTGAAATTGGCTGAGGCATGGCTTAAGTGGTAGAACACTTTCCTACTAAGTTTTAGGTCTTAATTTCAAAACTCATATACCACCAAAAGTAAAAGAAAGCAAATATCATACTTCCATCATGTGTTTATAATAATACAATCACTATAAAGGAACATGGGCTGGGCACTACTAGCTACTTAGGAGGCTGAGATCTGAGGATTGCAGTTCAAAGCCAGCCCAGGCAGGAAAGTCCATGAGTCTCTTATCTCCAATTAACCACCAGAAAAACAGAAGTGGTGCTGTGGCTTAAGTGGTAGAAGTTAGCCTTGAGCTGAAGAGCTCAAGGATAGTGCCTAGACCCAGAGTTCAAGACCCACGACTGACCAAAAAAAACCCAAACACACACACACATCAAAAATAATATACAAAATGAAAGTCTGAGCAAGCAAAAATAAAATAATTGGTCCAAAAAGTTACACTCTAAGTATTTTATTCTAATATTTTGCTATGTGGTTTTTAAAACAAAGACTTATTATTCAGTGCAACTTCCTGAGCTAGATTTTATCCATTGCCTGATGACACGTTACTTCTATGCTGTTTTTAATCAATACATCAGATTCAACCAATTTATGCAGTCTTCTTTTAATGCAATCATTTTCCATGACCTCTTTATTTAATTCAATTTACTGAAAGGTTTATGTAATTTGTGTAACTAAAGAGTAAATGTGCTAGTTAATTAGGAAGTACTTTTGTGTTTTGTTATAAGTACAAATCCTGATGCATCTATTCACAATTAATTATAAGCTATAGTGAATTCTTAAGCAGTGAGGCATGCTACCTGCCTCTTCTTAGAGCTCCCTGCATTGAGGTCTTTACCTTCATGGGCTTGTTGGCATCTAGGCTCTCTTTAAATTTCTCCTGCATGGTTGTAGCAAGTTGGCAGAGCAAGGCACCATTGTCCAACTTTTCCATAAAAGTTTCAGCTGTAATCTCCTTCCCTGAAATCAGAAAAAAAGCAACATTGAAAAATCATCATCATTCCCTAATAATAAATGTCAGTTTCATGCTAAAGAACATATTTCACATAATTATCATCACTAAAATTTCTATTTCCACTGAATTACATAGCTGAGATGGAAACTTACATGAAAAAATGAATTTCTTCTTTTTTTTTTAAACTAAGGTCCCCTTGCTTTTAACTGAATACTTTTAACACAGCCATATCTCCAGCCCTGATTTTTTGTTTTTGTATTTAGATAATTTTTGCTTGTTCCTGGCCTGGACATGTATCTTACTAAGATCTATCTATTAGCTTTCCAGGGTATAGGATATAGCAGGGTATAGCAGGGCTGAATCACCCTGCCTATATTTTCATGGAGAAAGGGTCTAATGGTCATTTCCTTAGGCTGGCAAGCTTTAAACCATGATCTCAAAAATCTCAGCCTCCAATGATTAATTGACATGAGCCACTGGCACCTTGAAAAAAACAAATTCATAAAGTTTCAAGAAGCTCAACATTTTATATTCATACAATACAATCTAACTGTAGAAGATTTTCACTTCACATTAACGGTGACAAATTATATCCTGAGTAAAAGAAACCTGTTGCTTATAATCAGAGGAAATAATCAACCAGCCAATGAAACTCAGAGAACCTAATCAGAGGAAATAATCAAGCAGCCAATGAAACTCAGAGAACCAGCCAGATGAGGGATTGTGAATTTGGGCTCCCAAAACCGTTCTCATTCTCAAAAGCTCATTCAGTTACTTTGGCCACCAATCAGATTTTGCATTTGTGTGTTAAGTATATGTCTGCTGCGAAGAACATCAGGAACTATAATTTAATATAAAACCATGTTTTATCATAGAATAGGAATATTGACAACTTTAATAGGATGAGCAATGCACAAAACCATATCTCTAAATTCTATTTATCTGATTTTCTTGAATAAGATACAGATAACATTAATACAAACAATAAGTTCATGGCCAAAAAGCCTCTTTTTAATTACCCCTCATAATATCACAACTCCTACACTGTTGAATTCAAATTTTGTTTGTTTCCCCCTCATAACCTAAAAAACAAAACACAACAACACAAAAGCGTTCATAATCTAGTGTCTAATCCTCTAGCAGCTAAGGCAATGGCTATTTATATCCTTGGCTTTTCTTTCCAATGCACATGACAGTGACTGCAAAATTAGCTGGGTCAAGATCCTTCACTCAAGACACCTTAATTCCCAGTTGCTAAGCTTATCCTCTGACTAAAAATATGTAATCTATGGACTTTACCCAACAACCATAGGCTTTCCTGGCTACTTCAAACTCACCTTGCAAATCTAACCTTCCTCAGTCTCTGTATCTGCCCCTAGTCCACACACTGCCTTTGCTGGTCTTCTTGGGTCTTTCTGCTTCTCCTGCTCTGCTTTTGCTCTACCATGGCCCTTGCCTTCAGTGTCCTCCTTTTTCATCTGCCTGGCCCGCTTACATCTGTGCTTTCTCCACAGTTCCAGAAGGAGAATCTCCTAATGCACACTAGTTTATTTTTTGTATCATCATTCTCAAGCATATCAATTGTTTTGGCATAGGTCCAGTATTTGCTTCCATTTCAAGCAACATCTTTTGTAAACGTTTTTGTCTCCCATGATGTGATTTAAAAAAACTCTTGGGAGCTACCTTAAAATGAAAAATCTCTCACAGAGGTAAGCATACTGACTTCTTCACAGAGTAGGCATGTAGTCCTTGGGTTCTGTGAATATGTGAACTAACAAGTCATAAAGTAATAAAAACTTAGACAAAATATCAGATACTATCTTTTTTTAAAAAAGTATGCAAATAAAAGAAAATAAGACATAGAAGTGTTCTAAATTTTATATGGAGATTTTCTTTTTTGTTGTTGTTTTTATTTTTTTATTTATTGTGAAAATACCATACAGAGGGGTTACAATTACATGAGCAAGGTAATGAGGACATTTCTTATCAAGCATTGTTGTCTCCTCCTTTGTTTCCCCTTCCCATCCCTTCCCATCTCTCCCCTCCCACCCCCATCCCCCACCCGTCCGGCGCCAAAGTTGTAAAGTTCCTTTTCAACATACGACTTGTATATCTCATTGTTGCAATGGGTCCACCTGTATCCCTATTTAAACAATTTGCATTTTTTCCCTTCCCCTCCACAAATTATACCAACATCAAATACAGTGGAAACAGGGGTTATACTGTGGGGGAGGGACATACAAACAACAAAGAAATATTTTATAAATATGTTAGAAGCAATAGCAAGAAAGAAAAAAAAAACATTTGAGTCCTTATCATGGGGTTCATTTCACCTTATATCAACTTATCTGTTTCTGCTTGTCCTACACATATATTAGTTATTGCAAATTAGGGAAACCATGGGACCTATGTTTCTTTGGGCCTGGCTTACTTCACTTAATATAATTTTTTCCAAGTCTTTCCATTTCCTAACAAATGGGGCAGTGTCATTCTTTCTGATGGAGGCATAGAATTCCATTGTGTATATATACCACATTTTCTTGATCCATTCATCTACTGAGGGGCATCTGGGTTGGATCCATATCTTAACTATGGTAAATAATGCTGCAGTAAACATATTTGTGCTGGTAGCTTTAGTATGGTCTTATTTGTGATCATTTGGGTAAATGCCCCCAAATGGGATTCCTGGTTCATAGGGGAGCTCTATGTGGAGTCTTTTGAGGAACTACTTTTATATGGAGATTTTCAAAGGCATAATATTTTCCTTCAGCTAGACACAGGGAACTTGAGTCTATTAAATAGAACCACAGATAAACTAGTTGTTTTAACTGACAGTATGTAACATATTTTGATTTCAATAAATAGTATTCAATAAATAATATTCAATAAATAAATATTAGTTTAAAATCTTTTTTTTCTCCTCCCACTTTGGGGAGAAGAGTGGGTAAAGAGAGAACATGAGTATTTCCTTTTTTTTTTAACATTCTTGTTTTTCCCTACAGGATAGTTCACATTTTAGCCCCTAAATAGATTCTGCAGTTGGAAAAACACCAGTAGGGCTGAGAACTGACTACAGAGGTTTTTCTATGAAGAACTACCTTTATTTCAAAATTGAATGAAGCTCAACTCAGTTCACAAATATGTCTCAAGACCTGAAAATGCCAACCCGAAACATTGTATTGTGTGTTATTCACCATATTGGTTTTCATTTGCTACTAATAAGAAGAAAGTTTGTAAGCAGGCAACAAAAGTAAATATTAGAATAATTTCTTAAAATTATTATTTAACTCAAATGTGCTTAAATTTCAAGATAAAGGAGTTTACATTTGGGAAAGGACTTTGCTCTCATTTCATTAAATTCCATGGCAATTAACAGATTCTTATTGCAAATTTCAGTGACTAGATAATTATAATAAACTGAAAAGGACTTGTAAATTTTGAAAAGAAAGTAGTTTTCATTTAAAAGCCATTAGCAATTTACCAAAAGGTATGTTTTTTTCTTTTTTTTTAACATTTTTATGCTTTATACCTGAAGATTTTTAGTTACTCTGCTTTTCATGAACACTTGAAGAATTTTATACTGAACATCTGTATCTAATGAAAAATATATTAGGTGTCAACTTTCAATTCTGTATATTTTACAGCTTGGAAAGGTGTGTGATGTTTTTGGCTAAAAGAAACTGTTATATACTTTATAGTTGAAATGTACTACCTCAAATGAAGGAAAAATGCAAGACTGAGAAGCTTTAAAAAAAATAAACTTCACATGTAATGTATTTTCCATCCAGCCATTAAGAATTATTCAATATACATTTTAACTATGCTGTATAATTGTAAGAAATCAATTATAATCTTTATATGGAATGATATATTACTTCACTCTTATGATATTAATATAACCAATGGCATTTATAAGAAAATAGTAAAGTATAAAACTAGTTAGATTTAATGATAACAAAATATAAAATCAGCCTGCGAAGAACTAAATTTCAATTTCTCAAGTGGAAGTCATATAAAATTAAATATATCTAGCAAACAGCATAAGATAAAAAGGTAATTTAAACTGTATTAGCTCATTTCACATGTCATAAATACCAGCAGCAATGTGATATTGGAACCAACAAATTTATTTATTTTTCCCTCAGCTCCATCTTTCCATGCTGTTTTCAAGTTTAGAGAAAGATGGATATAAATAAATAATTTTGGACTATTAAAATCACTAGGTTGTAAAAACTATTGATTTGAAGGATAATGTAAAATACCCTAGTCTCAAAGTAGTACCTTCACTTCCTTTACTTATAATTGTAAAACATGTCCATCTCAGGATCAGTACCATTATGACTAAGGTCAGAGGTCAGAGGTTTCATCAAATACTGTGGTTAGTCACTTCAGCTAGTAGGCCTCAATGATAGGACATAGTGTCTGATTTTATTTTGTATTTTGGCTAGGCAACTAAAATCAACATGTGCCAGTATATTTGTTGCAGAAAACCAATTGCTATAATTTCCATCAAGTTTACCAATGTTTTACACAGGAGCCGCACATGGGGAAAAAAAACTATCTTGTCTTTTCCGGTGCATAGAAGGAATGCTTTTCTCAGAAAACTAGCAGTGCTGAATTCTCAAAAACATGACAATGTTTAATACGCATATTTAACATTTGAATACTTTAGGAAGGCACTGGTTCAAGTGAAATGCAAAAATACCTATTTATATATTAAATCCCATAATAATGTGAAGTGAACACTATTTTGTTCTTTAGTTGTTGTTGATGGTGGTCATGGGCCCTGAACTCTGGTCCTGAGCACTGTCCCTCAGCATTTCAGCTCAAGGCAAGCACTCTACTACTTGAGCCACAGCACCACTTCTGGTTTTCTGAGTGGTTTATTGGAGATAAGAGTTTCAAGGGCTTTCCTGCCCAGGCTGGCTTTGAATAATGATCCTCAGATCTCAGCCTCCTAAATAGCTATGATTACAGGTGTGAGCCACCCACACCCGGCTCTATT